TGTATCCCTTAGAGCAATACTCATCTTTCAAACCTGTGGGGTTGGCTCTCCCAAAGGGTCTTCTCATCTTCTGGCATAATTTGGGTGCTGTTTATGTATGTCTGGATGTCATTCCTAGCTAAAAGCCTTTCCTGGTAGTAAATTGGTTAACAGGTGGGGCTATAATCTCCTGAATCTTGTGCATATCACTCATTTTTTCAAAGTTGTGTGTGCACACAATAACATTCTCAGCATCTGTATTCCCATTCTTATTTAAAAGTTCTGCTACATATGAAGCTTTTAAATTTGAATGCTTTATACACCTACAGTAAATGTTCAAATGCCAATGTCTTGTGTTTGTTGTGCTGCTGATTTATTAGTCTAAACTCATTTTTATATATGTGCTGAGAAGTAATTAGTTTGACTGCAATATAAACAGAAATTACTTTATACAAATTCCTATACCAAAAGTTGCAAGTTTCTACTGAATGTGAATAGACTTCCTGCTCAGTTGCAAATGTTCAAACCCTTGTGTTCATTCAGTAAGTTTATTTTGTCTATAACAATTCAAGTATTTTCCTTAAATTGATCTATTAAAAGTCTCAAGATATTTTTCTTCAACTGCAGAAGGTTAATAACACAGACAAGACACTCTGGACATGCAAATTCTTGCCTTCAGATGTACCACTTTGTAGTTGTAAATATGAACTATGAAGATAGAAAGGAATATCTGAAAAAGGATATTAGGCTCTGAGGCCTTTAATGGAAATGCATTCTCTCTTAAAAGTACCAGTAATATTCACTTCATTAAACTGTATGATTGTTGGAAATAGTGCAATGCCTTTAGAGGAGCGTTTAGGAATGTTATCATTTTTATCGCTTCTGTGTATTTCAATTTGATTTAACTTTCTGTCTTATATACATTTAATTCAAGTTCCTTCTAAGTCATTCAAAGCAGCTATATGCAAATAAAATTGCATGCAGTAACAATATTTACTTGAAATAAAATCTGACCATAGTTTTTGTTTCATCTGCTTGTGCTTGACTTGACATTTAAGTATATTATTTTTTCTAATACATCCACATTTTTCAAATATACATAAAAACTTTAACATTGTAACAGATATCCTTTAACTTCCTTATTTTATAGAGTACCAGATACTAAAATTTGTTATGTGAATCTACTCGTATTTGAAACTCATAAAAATAGTGAATAATTATAAACTAAAACAAATAATTTATAACCACTTTAACAGATAATGATTCTATTTGAAAAAATCTGAACTGTTAATGCTTAGTTCTCTATACACAATAAATCTAGTCCTTAAACTAGGAATGTAAAATTTACACAGGAACTAAAAGAAAGTCAGCTTTCTTTAACCCACTGGTACCAGGTACATGCACTGACCACTGTAGTTTTGTTTTATTAATTTCATTTGAACATGGATGTCTCCACAAGCAAACAATCACTAAGGATTAGGTTCCTGACCTCATGACCTCACCTGTTTACCCCATTCCTTAACTTTTCAAAAAACAAAAAACAAAAATCCAATTTCTATTACTGTTACCTTAGTTATTAGTTATTTTAGTTATTTTCAGTATCATCATAATACCATTACCAATAATAATAGTTTACCATTTTTCTTTATAAAGAAGTAAGGTTAGGTAGGCTTGGTAACTGACTATGAGAGCATTTGTGGAACCATCTATGTGTACACAAACAAAATCAATAAAACAAACCACAGTGGACACTGCATGTGTACATGCACTTCCAGCATCCACAAGGTTTAAGTACTTTCAAGCAAAAGAGTATAACAAAGATCAACAAACTGGAAAGTATATTGACACAAATGGATCCTGAAACTGCTTTGTGTTCACTAAACCTATGCTTCCATCTACCTAGATTTGAATGCGTTTACGATGTAAATGCATTATCAAAAAACAAAAAAAATCAAAGAAAAAGATGACTGAACATTTGATAACTTACACTGAATGTTAATGCATACTGAAAAAAAGAAAGAAATAGAAGAAAAGGTTCCCTATATACTCTATGCTTTACATGAAGTAAAAGCAATATCAAATAAAGAAAAGTCTAAAAGAAAAAACACTATATCTCTGTTTCTCTACGCCGAATATGGGAATCTGAAGAATTGAGGGTTATATGAGAAGCCTGGTGCCTGACAGATGAATGATAAGACTGTAGCAAGGGAGGAGGCCGCGGCACAGGTACCAAAGGCCTAAATGACCCAACTTCATGCGGAACTTCAGGAGGTTGTTCTCTAGGGCGTGCACTTTTCTTACCATTCCTGCTGGGGTACGTCTTGGTGCAGTTCTGGTACACGAGGGGCAAGGGGAAAGTATGCGCCGCGTGAAACTGGAATTTGCTTTCAAAATCGCCACCTGAAAAGTTTTAAGTATCATAAACAATCATGGTCATGTCAATTTCCACATATTGAATCACTTTCCCTAAATACAGTATAATAAAGGTTCCTTATTCATCAAAAAAAATCTTGCACACATGGTCATAAATATTTCCAAGCTCAGGCCAGTTAAGTACATAAAGGCTGAAGGAAGAAGAGGGAAAGACAGAAAGAGGGAAAGAGGGAAAAAGGGAAAGAGGGAAAGAGGGAAGAAAGAGGGAAAGAGAGAAGAGAGAGAGGAGAGAGAGAGAAGAGAGGGGAGAGAGAGAGAGAGAGAGAGGGGGAGAGAGAGAGAGGGAAGAGAGAGAGAGGGGGAGAGAGAGAGGAGGGAGAGAGAGGAGGGGGAGAGAGAGAGGGAGAGAGAGAGAGAGAGAGAGGAGAGAGAGAGAGAGAGAGAGAGAGAGAGAGAGAGAGAGAGAGAGAGAGAGAGAGAGAGAGAGAGAGAGAGAGAGAGAGAAGAGAGAGAGAGAGAGAGAGAGAGAGAGAGAGAGAGAGAGAGAGATTCATATAGTGGACCTCCAGCATTACGAATTACAATACAGATTCAAGTTCTAACCAACACTACTCTGACAAACACTAATGAAATAATTTTATGTGCATGAGCACTAGTATCATCATTACTCTAATTGAATTTTTTGGCAATGAACTGACTGTGAATCAAAATAGGCAGTCTATCTGACCTACTTCTCTACATACCAGCTAATAAACAAAAGATACTAACAAAATAAAAACTCACAGTAAAATATATTGTGATATGCACGATAGAGGTCACAATATAACATGTATGCCTCGTAAGCTGGGCCCATGGATGATGAAGAATGCATAAGAGTAAATAAGATGTGAATAGTATGAATTAATGCCAGACAAGAAAGAATAATTCCAGAAAACAAAGCCAGAAAAAAGTTAAAGACACGAAAAGCACAACCGACAGAAGAGTCACCTATCTTGAAGAAAGGAGGTCTCTCTATACAATTCTTATTTCAACATTAGCAAACACACACTCATGTATCTATCATAAATATGTATACAAGCATTTATGGTAATGAATATATACATTATATAGGCCAATATTTTTTCTTTCAAATGTATTTTTTCACACTCACATATACATCATATATATTATATACAGATGTATGCATATCCTATAGTAAACACATCTCACAGAAAAATCTATCTTTTCATACATCACATAATATATTCATGAAATATAATAGATCATGCAAACATCATACAATATACGAGATTTACAACCATTAACATATACAATATTCATCTAACCATCTATCCATACATAACTATCTATCTCTATCCGTCTACCTATCAATATAATTACATCCATATAGCACTGATGAGTATCACCACCCAACTTTCTATGTCTAGCTACATATCTACACCTACTTTTACCTATGTATATATATTCTTTACTGTTTTTTTTTCTCTCTTTTTTCTTATGAGAGCAAAGGAAAAGTGAAACCTAAAAAAAAAGTGAGTGTAACTACTAGGGACTTTCTTCAAGATTCTCTTTGTCATATTCAGGTTCTTTTCTCTTCAGCTCCTTCTTTGCATTTTTGCCTCCATGCCCTACTTTCTTGGTCTTGGGCTTACACGCTGTAAAACATGAGACATTCTTTTCCTTCTGGCCATCTTGTTCAACTGCCGCCCCTCGACTCAGCTCATATTCATTACATTCACGGCACTCTGTTTCCTGAGAGGCTTCTTCCTGACATGCATGACAATAGTTCAATGGCTCCCCTTGTCCCTCCAAGGCACAAGCTTCACAAGCTTCACAATCAACAGACTGAGTGCAAGAGTATCTGCTTGTCCCTTCATCACTTAAATCATAGTCTGGAACATCTATTGTCAGAGCCCGGGAGGAGGGTCTGTAAGTAGATGCTTCGAGAGAATAAGCATACGAAGAGTCACGAGAAAGCCTCGGAGGGAGCGTGCAAAACTGGGTCGCAATGTGCTTACCTGAAGGGCGCGCTGACTGAAATCTATTTGGAGGTGGTGGAGGGGGTGCTATGCTTGGAGGCTGAAACAAAAAATATAATATATATGAACATAATTATATTACAGTTCTGCAATTTTCTATATTTCTTGATAATTTGAAATATCATACTCTGTATATATCACAAATCAACATTCTCACTTGTCACAATGTTACATAATACTACCATCTGGATACCTGTAATTTATATATTCAAATTTCATAATCACACACTGATACATCAACTTCATGATCAACCCATGATTGTGGATTTCTATATTCTTCTCAGTATTTTTTGAGAGTTGTTACATATAGAGAGTTTTACATCTGTTCAGCTACCAAGGAGCCTATCAGAAAAATGTGTTTTTCTTTCTAATAATTTCTATATTTATATTGTTATTATTCTTACTGATTTTATGATTATCAAATTGTTATTAAAATATTAACAACATTAAAGACAATAAAATACTACAAAAGTATTCCAAAAATCACGAAAGAGGATAACCATGAGATAGGTAGGACTAATAACCAACTCCTTGGTAACTGAGTCCTTGTAGAACCAACTACACATAGTCTTGCGATATGGGAAGATTGGGTTCATGGTCTTGGATTCCTTGTTTACAGAACAGATCACTGATATCATATTTGTATATCAAGACTTCAGATAGGTCAAGGATTCTTCAAGAAATTTAACACCCAGTGACTTTTGAAATATACAGAATCAGCATTAATTACAAGATAAACTATAAAAATCATTTTGCTGTCAGTGCATATGATTAAAATATGCACCTGAAGAAACAGATTGAAATATCTAAATTTGCCCAAGTTCACAGGACATTCCATTACACAATGAACCAATTTCTAGAGGCCTTTTTAACCAAAGTGGTGATTTTCAATTAAATATACAATAAATCCTAATACTGTGCTGAGTTAAAATAACAATCCCACATACTACAAAGACAACTCACATTAACCTTACCATATCAAATTCTTTACAGTAATATGATTAAGATTATCATATGATATGAAGCTTTTCCAGACAGCTCAAGAACACTACCTCAGGCTTTGCAGTGGGTGGGGGAGGAGGTCCTTGCCGGTGAGGCGGTGGTGGAGGTGGCTGGTTTGGAGGCGGAGGTGCGGGTACGCTTGGTCTACTGGGTGGGGGTGGCGGTCGCTCTGCTGGTGCCCGTGTCATGGATCTGACAATGTTTGAGCCTGACACTCGGCCAACTGTCACGGAGCGATTGGAGCCATGGCCAAAGGGTGGTCCACCGGGAGCTTGCTTGTGGTGATGAGCTGGCAGGGTCCGTGCCATACTTGGCGATAACATGTCTTCCTTAGAATACTCATTATGGTCTGAGAAATCCATTTCACTTGTACTTCTGTATTCCTTCATGCTACTTGTCCTCGATGCAGGTCTACTCACTGGAGTGTTCCCATTAGGCTGTAACATATTGTAAAATGTTAAATTCAAAAAAAGTACCAACTCATTCTCTTGTAAAAATGTCTAAACACTTATTCAGTAATATGTTAAATAAAGTAAGCTCTCATGACTGTACCACTGACTACCAAATTCACAACTAATTATTATTACCAGTGCCCATACAGATTTCCAACAGACCCAAATAAACAACTAGTTTTAACGCACTTGCACTGGGCATTACACATATGTGATGCCTGGAATACAGATAATGGCCAGTTGTCCCACCAGTGCGACGCTAGATCGGAGCTTGCACTCTGATTTTGCCGCCTGAGGCAGGTAGTGCACGGGCAGGTTCCTGGCCTGGCCCACAAGCCAATTTTGATACCACCCAGAAACGGGCATTATCGCCCTCTAAATGTACTGTCACAAGTGGGTTATGTAAATACTGTAAGGTGATTTTCTAATTTCTTATCTACTTGCATCAACCTTTACACTTTTTGTCTATAACCCAAATGACACTTTAGTAACCCTATCATGATGGGGCCTGAATTTTCAGTGACATAATTATCACACAACAGTTTAGTCTATTTGGAAGGGTTTCTGTTTGAGTACATCCAATGAGATATGATGTATATACACATAATACGATTATGTCATGATGGCTATAGCCATACCCGTTACTGAGGGGTTTAACCCATACATACAAGCTGCATGTATATTTTTCTGAATTTGTAATGAAAATCATTGAAAAATAAAAGAGATTTACTTAATAACTAATCACTATTTTTGATTAACTATAATAGGGTCAATTCATTAATTTGCATTAATCAGGTTCAAACTTCTAAAAAAAAAATCTATAAAATTAACACTAACAAAATGTCAAATCAGTACCTGGAATTGCAGACATTGATGTGCTTATCCCAATTTCTGGGTCAAAGCATAAATCACTAGCTTAGATTATTCTCCTCATTCTATTCCCACACAGTGCAACATAAAGGATAAGACTATAAAGTAGTCACTGACTCGGGTGACACAAACTTGAATATTACAATCTTTCAGGATAAAGCAAAGCAAAAGACACACATGGCCATTGAAAACTGGCAAAAAAGCTAAAAACATTTATGCAAACTAACTTTTACAAGGGGAAGCATAGAGTCTTGTAACCACACACAAGTGTTGTGTGTGCCCAGCCTACATGCCACACACACTGCAAGGTGTGTGGCATGTAGGCTGGGCATTATATAATGACCCATGCAACTGGATTCAAGTTGTTAATAAGGTGATTTTTTTAACAATTCTAAAAATGGGCCTTTACCTTTTCAGAAATTACTATCATGTTACTTAGTTTACGAAAAAAGCATGGTCCAAAAAGTCACGGATATACACATTCCACCATAATTATAAATTTTGTAATTATGTGGGCATATCTAAATATCTGAGACAGAAATACCTTACTTGAGAACATGTACTTGTATTGATGCATTTAAAGGTGTTCATTGTAAAATGTAGAAAACAAATATGAATAAGTGATTAACTTCACAGCACAAGAGGTGCATTTGACATGTTCCAATCATATCTTTACAAGATATCAATTCTCATTCATATCTTTTTCTACACTGATGCATTACCAGGCATTCTTTATTCTTTACCTCTCACCTGTTATCCACACTGAGGACCAAGTTAGTTTATCTGCTGACTGCAGTGAGTAAAAATGTAATACTAATTTGTGACCCTGAGACCAGCTACCACTTTCTTTCTTTATCATTACCCCAAACATATAAAAAATTAATTCAATGAAAATATGCTGGTCTGTGCAAATTACACTTTAACATCTAGCATGCATGAGAGAAGCAAATGTTCAAGTAAATGAGACAAACCCAGCAGTACCTACCTGTGCTACAGGTAACTTAGGCGGTAGTAAAGGTTTTACTGAGCTAGGGGGTTTAGGAGGCGCTGGCTTGTTTCCAACACTTGGTTTAATCACTAAATTTGGTTTACTTGGTAGGGTTGGATGACCAGCTTTGGGAGGAGCTGATGTTGGTATCACATCCTGCTGGATCAAATATAAAGCCAATGGTAGAGAACAGCATTAATAAACATGGAATGTACCTCCCAACATCTAATCAAGGCTAAAGGGGAGGGAGTACTAAAAGATATCTAATCCATACACACACACACATGCATCACACAAGTCACACTCTGATGCACCCTCTTCCTCACTCACCCACCCACCCACACCCACACCCACACTCTTTTTCTCTCTCAATCACTCTCTCTCAATCACTCACATTCTCTCTCACTCTCACATTCTCTCTCACTCTCACATTCTCTCTCACTCTCACATTCTCTCTCACTCTCACATTCTCTCTCACTCTCACATTCTCTCTCACTCTCACATCTCTCTCACTCTCACATTCTCTCTCACTCTCATTCTCTCTCACTCTCGCATTCTCTCTCACTCTCGCACTCACATTCTCTCTCACTCTCACACTCTCACTCTCACATCTCTCTCACTCTCACACTCACTCTCACATTCTCTCTCACTCTCACATTCTCTCACTTTCACATTCTCTCTCACTCACTCACATCTCACTCACTCACTCACACTCACTCATCACTCACTCACTCACTCACTCACTCACTCACTCACTCATTCACTCACTCACTCACTCACTCACTCACTCACTCACTCACTCTCATATTACACAAACACTATTTCACTCACACATACACTATACATACACTCTCATACACACCCACATTCACACCCATTTTCAATCTAAATTGCACTTTTCACACTTGCCACTCTAATATCTTATACTTTTACACAATTACAGTCTCTGGCACTGAGTATTCTCCTACAAAAGTCAATAGATATGGGTTCAGGTCTTATTTAGGCAATTCTGCCTACATCAACTATATCATGAAATCAATAATCTAGCAAGGTATGTTTTGCAATTCTTCGTAAATTGTAAACAGCAAAGGCAAAAGTATCAAAATCAAATTCAAGTATTTAGGACTAATACATAATAGTGCTTCTGAAGACTCGGGCTCCAAAACTTACCGGTGAAGGCTTTAGGGATGAAGGCTTATTGGCAGGGTTGGGGGGTTCCGGCAGGGGTCCCCTTGCTTGCCGATCATTTGAAAAGTTAGGTTTTCTCGATGCAGGGGGAGGAGGTGGGGCTGGACTACTCTTACTACTGGGCTGCAAGAATAACTGGAGTCAATTCTTGCTTTGACTACACACTCATTGACTACTTGAACTCCTGTACTTTTTAGCAAAGCTTGTACTGTTACAGGTAAGTGCTAGCAGTAAATATATACCCTATTACATTAATCATTTGCATATTATGCATAATCTTACAAACAGCAATTTGTTTCAACAAAATTACTGATGGGTTTACAGCTATTTCTCTATTCCTAATAAATCTATACTTGCTTCTTACTTTAATTTCATATTCATCATTCAATTCATCAATCTAATAATAAAGTTTGTTTCTGGACTGGCCTATGCCAACATATCTATTTTTTGTAACAAATGCATTTCTATTCAGATATTTAATGTCACATACTTCTTGATATTCTTCTTGAAAACAGAGGAACAGCTGTTTTTGTCAAAGGACCCAGTAAAAAGAAATAAGAATAACATTCAAGGGAAATCCATCAAACCTTAGGACTAGGTGGTATACTACTGTTGTCAGTCGCCTGCTCTGAGTCACCAGACACATCATGATCAGGAATGCTGGGAGCTGGTTTTCTCCCTGGAGGTAATAAGGGAGCACTTCTGCCTCCAGCTGAAATGGAAGAAGAAATATCATTACTATTTAGAATTTAGAATTAAAGTGCCATCTTCTGAAGGCACCTCACCACTGCAAATACTATATCGAGAAAATGAGGTTAATATTTCCACCTTCATGTCTGTAAGCACCCATGCCAATAAGCCATAGTGCTGTCATCTCAGCACCCTTCAAACTGATCAGGTGTCAACTCATGTATCCCATATCATTCTATCACCTACAATCTGGATGACATGACCATCACATTATGAAAATATTAGGCTTGAGGGACCTGAACAAGCCATCATGGGAAAACCTGACTGTGGGCCAGGGTGACACCAACTTGCCATCATGAAGGTTTCGGGTAAAGGCCGAGATGAAGTGAAAGACTTGCCATGAGTGCATAAACCTCTTGGTGGGTGACTGGACTAATATGACATTTAGAAAGGAGCTTTTGCATTATTCCCATTGGTAAACGAATGTGGAATATAGTGTCCGTGAGCCATAACAGCGCAGGTTGTACTACAGAAAACTGAATATTACGGGAAAAAAATTAACTGACACAAATAACAAAGTGCTATTCATTGTTATTCTTCTTGTACAGATTTAAGGACAACCTTGAGAGATGATATGGAGTCTATGCAAGGAAAACAGTCTACTACCATTTGGATACAGCAAATCAAATGAAAAATATGGACGCTGAAGAATGAAAAAAAGCTAAAAACACATATCCATAAAAAGAGAAAATAACATTGCAATAGGGAGGCATAGTCATATCACCACATACATGTGTTCATTTGTACCCAGCCTAGGAGTCGCTCACCCATTAGAGCAGCCGCTCACATAAGCCTAATGTCCGTATTTTGGGCCATATGATTGATATGTGATGGGGGTTGAGGGTAAACTGATTGGTGGTCTTAACATACTGTTACATGTGAGACAAAATCAATTCATAAATGCCAAAAGAATGTTCTTGTAACAGATATCAAAGCATATGAACAATAGATGGTGATTTATAAAGAAGAATGTAAGGAAGAAAAAAAGACAGAAAAAATCATATACCTAAGCCTGTTTGCACACAGAAAATACACGTAATCAAAAAATAAAATACTGTAATGTATCTCCCTTAAACAAATGTACAAATGAACATACAACTTCAGTAGGCAGTTTAAATAATTTTGTAGACTTATCACTCAAAACTTTATTTCTTCCCATCTGCAAATTCTCAAGAACTTGCAACTATCATCAAAACTCAAAAAGTTTATTTTCCCTAAAAAAAAACTAGATTTAAAAAAAATCAAAACTTCAATCTTTGGCAAATTCTTAGAATTCCCTTGACTTAGTTTTTGTGCATCAATTTGTTAAAGGCAATAAATCTGAAACTAAGTTGAATTTTCAAAATTGGATGTGAAGTTTCCATATGTAAACTAATGGCACTCTCGACAAGAGTAAACAATGCAAAAATCAACTTTTGGGCTTATTAATTCTAAAATTACCCCAGAGTTGCTTTTAACATGTAAAATTCATTGTAGTTCATATTTAGAAATATTTTCATACACTGCTGGCTCCACAAGTGCTCCACCACCAAGGAATCAATCAGTTGGCTGCTTGACCTCCTTTGATTTACCCTTTCTTGATCTTACATGGAGAAATTTTATTTCTTTCATAAAGCTGTTCCTTAGCAATATAAAATATAATGAAATGTTTCCAGAAATCAAGGAAAATGGTAAACATTTGAGCAACTGACTCCCTGGTGACTAAGCACTTCTGGATCTATCTATATTCACCATAACTGTTTTGAATTAAAGTGTAAAAATCACCATGTCTGCTTTGGAATATAGTGAAGAATTCATCATAATTACTTTAAACCTGTCACAGGTGTTACAACAAAATACATTAGTTAATACCAATGATAAATCTCATCTTGATCTTGTCTGAGCATATTTTACCTTGCAAATATTACCTCCTTCATTTACAGAAAAAACAATATAAGCAGCCTTAACAGAAATCTCTAATGTTTCACAAGCATCACTTTTTTTTCTAATTGTTTTTCCTATAGCATCTCACATGTCATACAAGCAGAACATGAGATAATCCTCAAAACAAACCAATCCCACCCAAAGACCATAACACAAGATTAATACTTACAAGAACTGTGTGCACCAATTCCCCGCCCAGTTGGCTTAAGCTTTGGCATTCCCCCCGTGAAGAGTCCACCCAGCTGTGGGGCGCCTCCATTCATCATCCCACCTCCGCTGCCCAAGCTCCCTCCGCCTCCGCCATTGCTGGAGTAAGACCCGCCATTGGATGATGGCTTGCTGGTACCTGCAAATTAAAAGTGTGCTACATTATGACCTCATCTATATTTCATCGTCAGTACTTCCTCTCGAATATATTAAATTCAATATACTTTTAATGAAACTGGAAACAAAATAAATAACACAACAAATATTATGCATTAATTTACAATCTTTAAGTGTCCTAAATCATAGCCTCATATACAATATCACTAAAATTTTCTTGTGATGTCCAATATTTTGAGTGCAATATGCTTTAAACTTGCCACCAGGTATGGCATGTGTGTACATGCCATGCCCACTGTGTGTTTAATTAAGTAACTGTTTTTACTCATAGATGGCTCCATAAGTACAAACTCAGCAATGAACAAATTATGAGAACTACCTGCCTCACCTGTTTACCTTTTTCCTTTATTTCCAATCATATTTTTTAGTATCTAATATTGCTGTTAGTAATGACAATAACAATATAGTAATTATAATGTTCATAACAAAAATAAGTGTCAATATTGATTGCATTAGTAAAATAACAAAAGAGTGTTTTCCCAATATTTCAAGAAAATGTGAGGTCACAAGATCTACTAATTGACTTAACCAGAGCCATAACAATACTAAAGTGAAGGCAACGTTTTCCTATCAGCATTGGGTTAATGTAACTATAAACAAAATTAACAAAGTAACTGAACAGATATCATGGTATAATACACAGGATCAAAAGCACACACATACATATATACATATACATATACATACAAATACTATATATATATATATATATATATATATATATATATATATATATATATATATATATATATATATATATATATACATACATATATATATATATATAAATATATAGACATAATATATATAAATATATATAGACATACATATATATAAATATATATATAGACATACATATATATAAATATATATAGACATACATATATATTAATATATATATATATATATATATATATATATATATATATATATATTGTATGTCTATATATATCTATATATATTATGTCTATATATATTATATATAAATATATATATAAATATAATATATATATATAAATATATATAAAATATATATATATACCTATTTATTACACACACACACACACACACACACACACACACACACACACACACACACACACACACACACACACACACACACACATATATATATATATATATATATATATATATATATATATATATATATATATATATGTGTGCACTACATCACATCTATTTGGTGAACCATTTCCCTCTTTTGCTCTCTTCCTTTACTCATTTCTAACAACACACAAAAATGCATAAAGGCGGATTCGCACCGGGAGCGAAACTCCGCTACGCACGCGATGCGGCGGGAAGAGGAAGCTCCGCGAATGTTCACACTGGAAAAGATGCCGACGGGCTCTTTCCTCAAACAAGCATCACATCACTCCGTTGTTTTTTGAGGAGGAGGAAGAATAACAACTATAAATGCTAACTCTAGCACTCAGTTAAAAAAAGAAAGCAAGGAAATGGGTCCACGAGATCAATTTGGTTAAGACAACGTTTGGTTAATATCATCATTTAATTCAAGAGTTGGAAGACGTTAAAGAAAAATCCAAACACTATTTCAAAATATCTCCCGGATTGTAGAGGACTTGCAATATAAGACGACTCTCACCTGGGTCCCCGCCCCCGTGTAATTCTCTAAATACTAAAGCGAGTATGCGCTACACAACTGATTTTAAAGATTGGCCGCCCGGCGACTGATCAAGCCATGCGCGCGAAGTAGCTAACATGAGTAGCTTCGTAACCGGTAATGAAAATACACCGAGGCGATTGAAGGCCACGTAGCTTCGCATCTCGCAAGTAGCGTAACTTCGCTCCCGCTGTGAATCTGCCTTCATACAGATATATACCATTATCTTTATGTATTGACCAACTGAAAATACTTTCATGGAAATGCACTACACATGCAGAAAGTTACCATGCACACTTTTGCACTTAAAAATGTATCAGTTGTCATTTCTTAAAATACATTGCTTACATTTCTTATTAGGATGACAGACCTGGCATCACATTTAAGTCAATTTGCATCTTAGCTTATTCTAAATCATTCTCATGTAGTCTAGAGGCTTAAGACTGGGAGAAAATTCACACACTAAGCAAGTACTTGCCTGAAGTGAACATCAAGTAAACATCAAGCAGTAAATCTAAAATCACACACAACTAGTGTATAATCACAATCTTATCTACCAATAGACAAGAGCTCACTACACACAAGGCTATCCCCCCTCCCGCCACCCCCGCCTGCCTATCATAAAACAGTCTTAAAACTCCAGAAACCAAAGGAACCAATACAAAGCCATGAGGTATGTAGGAACCACCCGCCACATCCTCCTGCTGTACCTGATGTGGTTGACGCTTCTCTGGCGCATCATAAACCCTCTTCGCGGAGGGACCATTAAGCAAATGAAATTCAGTCTGCACCATATACAATATCACACAGCCTCTCTTGCAGATCCAGTTGCCCCTGTCGGTTTTTCTGTATCTCCCTCTCTCACGCTCGCTCACTCTCACTCTCACTCTCACTCTCACTCTCACACTCACTCTCACACTCACTCTCACACTCACTCTCACACTCACTCTCACACTCACTCTCACACTCACTCTCACACTCACGCACTCTCACTCTCACACTCACTCTCACACTCACTCTCACTCACTCTCACACTCACTCTCACACTCACTCTCACACTCACTCTCACACTCACTCTCACACTCACTCTCACACTCACTCACTCTCACACTCACTCTCACACTCACTCTCACTCACTCTCACACTCACTCTCACACTCACTCTCTCACACTCACTCTCACACTCACTCTCACACTCACTCTCACACTCACTCTCAACACTCACTCTCACACTCACACTCTCACACTCACTCTCACACTCACTCTCACACTCACTCTCACACTCACACTCACACTCACTCTCACACTCACACTCACTCTCACACTCACTCACTCACTCTCACACTCACTCTCACACTCACTCTCACACTCACTCTCACACTCACTCTCACACTCACTCTCACACTCTCAC